TTCAGCTGTAAGCGGCTTGTGGCTGGATGCCAAGTTCTCTTTCATGCATGTGTGGATACGCTTTATTGAATTTGTGGACTTATTCGCCTAGATTGCTTCTTATCTATGGAGTATCAAATCGGATGTTATTACCGAAATCATGGGGATGGGACTAGCCATGCTACTTTCGGCATGACAGTATACTTGGGAATTGCGATAAAGCTGACAAGTTGCACTCACATCAACCTTAAATTCTTTGATATGGTATATATGTTTTACTGAAAGCTGCTTTCTGATCCTGATTTCACAATGTTCTATCCATTGTGGACCAGACGTTATAAAAGCGACATCATTACCATTATTAAAATACTGCCAACCTTGTACAATCATTGGAATTGTCATGTGTGCCATAATTTATGTTCAATTCTACTTGTTCTATGGTCACAGATGGCAATATATTCCTAAAAATATTTACCTTTCGCTCTTGTTTGCAAAATTAAGAACTTTATGTACTTCCCCATGGAACCATATTTCTCCCAGACATTTTTAATGAATCTGCCACATTTTTCTTGAAGGAAATGCACTTGGTTTCCAACTGGTGGTTCTTTCAGGAGATATTTCCCAAAAGCCCCAGCAACCAACGAATTGACGAGCATCATGCAGGTTTTTTACTGTTAAAAATCAGTTTCTAAACGTCAGTTGATGAAATAATTAGTTTGTATCACCAGGACAGTTTAAAAGATTTCCCCCTGTTGGCACTGTCATAAAAAATGCATTCCTCAGAAATTCTTTATATCCTAGTTACGATCCTCATGCTCATAGTCGAGTTTTATTAAGACGATAAAGTATTATTCACTCCCATGTAAAATCTAGTAAATAAAACTAGGAAATATTATGAAATCTACGAATTACCGAAAGCCCATTTCTCTAAAGTGTTACTGCTTTAGAGCAATGACCTGTCTAAAACATCTAATGAAAGACTTTACTAACAGTCCTGAATCATATTAAATGAAATAGATTAAATACAGCTCTTAGATTATGTCTACTGATAGTCTCGAAAGCCTGCTTATAGACTTAAAATAAGGTTTGTAGCCGACTGCCGTAGCAAATAAAACTTTGCTATAGGAAAGACCTTGGCTTCCTAGAAATTCACTTCTGCCCTGTGCCCCAAGGTACTAGTGGCAATGTTGGGTGTTGGTGAGTGGTGTCAAAATTATACACTGCCCTACATGTGTTCGAGTCTCACTGGAGGTGCTGACTAGACCTAGGCGAGGTCGAAGGTGCAGTCCAATCGTGATGATAG